GAGGAGGAGGAGGAGCAGGAGCAGGAGGAGGAGGAGGAGGAGGAGGAGGAGGAGATGGAGGAGGAGGAGGAAGAGGGAGAGGTGGAGGAGGACAAGCTAGGTGCGTGCGCGTCATATCTGACGTCCTACCCTCCCTCCCATCCCTTACCATGGCGAAGATATCCTCTCTATTCGCACAGTCGGATGTCGAGCTGGGCAATGATCCCGAGAGGGTGCGCCATACATGTAGAGCACGGCATAGCACGGCGTAGACGAACACGGCAGAGCGTAGTATGCGATAACATGGCGTGGCATTGCGTAGTGAAGAATTGCATTGCAACTCATTGCAACGCAAATAATGGCATCGCACAGCGGCACACAGAACAGAACATGGCATAGCATGGCGTTGAAGATCAACGCGTAGCATGGCATAGCATAGCGTGGCACTGCGTAGCCAAGCACTGCATATCCTAGCATGGCAGCTGAAGGCATGGCATCGCAAGCGGAGCACCACATAGCATCGCATTGCGTGCCGTGGCATGGCACTGGAAATAATGACGCCAGCGCTGCAGCGGGATCACGATTCGGAACGAGCGGAAGCGCAGAAATGAGGCCAGCGCTGCGGCGGGAACACGATTCGGAACGAGCGGAAGCACGGAAATGATGCCACCGCTGCAGCGGGAGCACGATCCGAAACGAGCGGACGCCCGAAAATGAGGCCAGCGCTGCAGCGGGAATACCACTTTGGACAAATCAAAGCGAAAACCCAACTCCCAGACATCCAGTGTAAAAACCATACATGAATGGGGGACCGAACATCCTCTGGACGTCATCAGGGGAGAGAAGAGCGTAGTATTTCGATTGTGCAATTGAAGAAGAGGAGAAGGAGGAGGCGGACGAGGAGGAGGAGGAGGAGGAGGGAGAGGAAGAGGACGAGGAGGAGGAGGAGGAGCAAGAGCAGCAGGAGGAGGAGGGGAATGGGGAGGGGGAGAAGGAGAAGGAGGAGGAGGAGGAGGAGGAGGAGGAGGAGGAGGAACAGGAGGAGGAGGAGAAGGAGGAGGAGGAGGAGAAAGGAGGGAGGAAAAGAGGAAGAAAAAGGAGGGGGAGGAGAAGGAGGAGAAGAAGGATGATGATGAGGATGAGGAGGAGGAGGAGGAGCAGAGGAGGAGGAGGAGGAGGGGGGAGGAGGAGAAGCAGGAGCAGGAGCAGGAGGAGGAGGAGGAGAAGGAGGAGGAGGAGGAGGAGAAGGAGAAGGAGGAGGGGGGGAGGAGCAAGAGGAGGAGGAGGAGGAAAAGGAGGAGGAGGAGGAGGAGGAGGAGGAGGAGGACGGGAATGGGGGGGGGGGGGATGGTGATGTGGAGGAGGAGAGGAGGAGGAGGAGGAGGAGAGGAGGAGAAGGAGCAGGAGCAGGAGCAGGAGGAGGAGGAGGAGGGGAGGAGGAGGAGGAGGAGGAGGAGCAGGAGCAGGGGAGGAGGAGGAGGAGGGAAATGGGGGGGGGGAGGAGAGGAGGAGGGGAGGAGGAGGAGGAGGAGGAGGAGGAGGAGGAGGAGGGAGGAGGAGGAGGAGGAGCAAGAGGAGGAGAGGAGCAGCAGTAGGAGGAAGAGGATGAGGGGAGGGGGCAGGGGGGAGGGGGAGGGGAGGGAAGGAGGAGGAAGAGGAGGAGGAGGAAGAGGAGGAGGAGGAGGAGAAGGAGAAGGAGGAGGAGGAGGAGGAGGAGGAGGAGGAGGACCCCTGGCAACTGGCCAACCCGGTAGCCCCACGGGAACGCACCAGGAGGCCTCAGAAGCGCTGCGGATGCAGCTGAAGGCCCCTGAAAAGGCAAGCCGAAGCGGGGCAATGGACAGGAAAGATGCAACACGATGTGCCCAGCCCCCTCGAACAACGAACAAAAACTATGTTTTTTTCGATATTGTCGGCCTCCGAGGGGCCCTTACCGGGTCTCGGGACCGTCAAAAAACGACTAAAGACGAGAAACCCGTCCCGGGGAAGGGTCGAGACCTTTGGGGGTCGACGCTATGAAAGAATCATGACGGCTGCACCCTCCTCCCTGGCGCGCTGAACGCGCCAGGGGCGGCGCCAGAGGCGCCGCTGGGGGGACCCAGCGCGAATCCAAGAAATTCGCGCGGAGCGCCAACTGTTTATGTTTATGGATTTTTTCTTCGTCGATGAACCAGAGACCCGAGGGTATGATTGTTTCCAACCCGGTGCTTTTCCTGCTGGATCTCGGACCCCGGGGCCTGGGATCGGGCCCGGGAACAAGCACGAATGGAGCCGGGACGGAAAAGACCGAACCCGGGGAATGGGTCGGGTCCTCAGGAGCCGCGCATGGAACAATTCATAACGGCGTGTGTTTGGGGAGGTAACGAAGGACAGAAGGCAAGATACAAAGAAGAGGATACATGAGGCAATGCGAATGTACGTACATATGTCTATGTGTGTACATATACAGATTCACAGTCAGCTGGGCCTCAATCGGTGACCTCAGACAATGCATGCGGCGCGATCTAGGTAGCGCACGGAAGTGGCACAATCTAGGTGGTGCAGTCCACGCGGTGCAGAATATACTGCGGAAAGCAACGCAAAGCAACGAAAAACAACGCACAGCAGTGCAAAGCAACGCTGGACAATGCAAATCAGTGCAAGGCTTTGCGACGCAAAGCAAACAATGCAAAGCTATGGAAAGCAATACGGCGCAACGTCAAGCCATGCAACGCAACGCAAGAGCCGTACGCCGTCTGGCGCGTGGGCGGGACAACAAGCTCAGTGCAGCACAGCCTGCGTTGCAAGGGAGAGGGGGAAGACAGAAAGCAAACATGCAAAGAGTGGGCAGGAAGAGCGGCCGGCTGGGGCTCACGGACATGAGTCCGTGCACGTTGATCTACATTACGTCCAAGCTGGTTCGTTCATGATGGCTTCGAATAAAAATTGTTCTGATGGAGAGCAGACCTTGACCTTGTTGTACAAACGCTTCGCCCATACATGTCGCGGCCTCCCTGGATACCGTTTCACTGTGCTTGTTGCCTGACGGGTGCTGCTAATAGAGGTGAGCTGTCTCAATACATCACCCTCGCTACTACGACATACTTGTCCAAACCACGCTGGTTGGTTGCTCAATAGCAGTGAGGTGTATGGTGTTTGGCCAGATCTGTCCAACATGGTGTTGTTAGAAACCCTTGAAATTTAGGATGTTTGATACCCAAAATTAAACGCAGACGCCGGCCTTGGACCTGCGTCTGTCGGCTTTGTTCGACCAGGCACTGCTCAGCGAGTACATTACTTAGCTATGCTAAGCGCCCGAAGCACTTCCGACTTTCGCTTGGGAATGATTGATGTATGTTTCCACGCCTGCCCATACTTTGGGAATTCCCCCCCTTCGGCGCCCAGCCTCCAGCCTAACGCCTGTTTTATCTTTCCACAGTCGTGCAATGTCGCCCCCAAGTGCTTCATCTGCATGGTGGGAATAATGCGTTTGCAGGACGGATCTGAAACACGCAAACCCCATGTGGCTTGCAACAACTGAAATTCATCCCAATGGTTCATTCCCATGATAGAGCCGGCGCGTGCAATTGAATCAACAAGTTGTTACAGATGTCGTTCGTTGTGCCCGACAAGAACTGGGTCGTCTGCGTAATCAAATACCGAAAGGCTTCCCGACGATAGTGCTCGGGTCACGACGTCCTCCAGGTACGACTCCGCGTTTTCGACGAAAACTGTCGTGACCATCGCAAGCAGGAACGGCGAGAGTGGACAAACTTGTGAGATGCCTAATACTTGCCCCCATCTTTCTGGCCTCTGGGACCCGTCTGCCACGAAAAAGCCACGGAAACCATACATATTACCAATGCTATCAAGCATGTGCGGAGGCACACCAAATGCAGCAAGTGCCTCGAGAAGAGCTGTCACGTTGATAGAAGCGAAAGCCTTGTTCCAATCTAGCGCAAGTAGGGCCACGCCAACATCTCGAGCGGCATGTGCTAGTTCGATATGTCTGCGAGCTGCGTGGACGGCGTCGACTGTGCCTTTCCTCCCTCTGAACCCACAGAGTGTCCCACTCAGTCTATCCACAGCCCCTCTCCGCAATTATAAACTCGCAAATCCTGCGCACATGACGCAAAATAAACCAATAGGACGATCATGTCGCACTGATCCACCGGACCTTTGTTGTTGCAAATCTTGGCAATGACTGCGTGCCGCCAGCCTTCGGTAGTATATTTTTCGCACCAGCGCTGGTTGATCATCTTCGTCATGATGTCCAGCTCTTTGGGGTCATGTGCCAACGCGTTCCAATATTCTGCTGGGATGTCGTCCGACCCCGGCGCGGTTCTTTGAAACTCACGCACTAACTCAGGAGCGATGCAAAGCAGTGCAACGCAGTGCAACGCAGCGCAAAGCAATACAACGCGATGCAAAGCAATTCAAAGCGACTGCGACGCAAAAAGATCCAGCGGCGACGGCGGCTTCGGGCGGCGACGAGCCGGCACAGACACCCAGGGGCCTAGATACCAGCGGCGACGGCGGCAGCGACGGGTGCCGACGGCCGCCAGCGAGCTCGCCGGAATGGCACTCAGGCTCATATACCTTAGAAGCCAAGTAAGAACTCCTAAGTGCAAACGCTGCTTGGGGAATAATAAGCATTTACATCTGCATGCATATTTATTCATACATATCTATACATAAGTATGTATCTCTGTGTAGCGGGAGGTAAGATAATGCACAAGGCACGCGAGAGAACATTGGAAACATGACAGCTGAAAGCGGAGAGAGAAGAGAGGAGAGCGAAGAGACAAAGAGAAGAGAGCGGAGACAGAAGAGAGGAGAGCGGAGAACCGCGGTAGGACAGGAGAGATAACACAGGAGGGAGAACGGTGGAGAGAGGCGGATGGGAAGCAAGATATTGAGGGAAATATAAAGGCATAGGTGGGTATGTTCGGCCCTACGCGGAAATTTAAATGTCCCACGCGGTGCTCACACTGCCATGATTAGAGTCAGACCCTTTTGCCGCCGTCTGCTAAGCCCTGGGCACGCACTTGCCGCAGAGCTCTCTGCGCCCCAGCCAGCGCGAGGCGCGTCACCTGTGAGCGCCACACAGGAGCGACAGCGGATGCAATATCAGAGGGGCATCTGCTTCACAGCAGGCATGGGTAAACACACGCAGAGAGAGAGAGAGAGAGAAAGAGAGAGAGAGGGAGATAGAGAGAGATGAAAACAAAGAGAAAGAGAGACAGAGAGATCTCTCTCTCTCTATATATATATACATATATGGTAAAGGCCGCTCCTGTGATCTACATTTCTCGTTTCCTGGCGTTCGGAATGGTTAGAACAAGGGTTTCATTCTATACAACACACACAAAGACTCAACTCAGATGCCTCCACACAAATGGTTCCAATTGAAAGCCAACCAATACGATTCCTTTTGGAGACAACTTAAAATTCTTCTGTAGGGCATTACACAAGGGTTCCTATTGTACCCCAGGCAATAGGAATCCTTTTGTAAACCGGTACAAAAGGATTCCTATTTGAAGCCATCCAATAGGATGGCTTTTGGAGGCAGCATACAAGGAATCCTTGTGTAGGGCATTACAACGAGATTCCTATTGTATCCCAGGCAATAGGAATCCAATGATCGGCAAATCTGTCCAAACCGCCGCCGACAGAAAAAGACAAAAAATATTAAAAAGACAAATAAGACAATCTGGGGGAGCAAAGGTGCCGCGTTTTTTTTGTCAAGTTGTTTTTTCAAGTGAAAGACGAAAAGACAAAACAACACGAGCTGGAACCTGCGACTCCTCACATTGATTTCTATTGGTCGGCGCACAATAAGAATCCTTGTGTGAGCCTGTACAACGGGATTCCTATTAAACGGCTTCAATGATAATCCTTGGGAAGCCTGCCAAAAGGATTCTTTTTGTTTGGCGCTACAAAAGGATCCCTATTAGATCCCAGGCAATAGGAATCCTTTTGTAAACCGGTACAAAAGGATTTCTATTGAAAGCCATCCAATCGGATTCTTTCTGGAGGCAGCATAGAACGAATCTTTTTGTAGGGCATTACAAAAGGATTCCTATTGTATCCCAGGCAGTTGTAATCCAATCATCGGCAAATCTGTCGGAACCGCCGCCGACGGAGATAAAAAAAAAAAACAATCTGGGGGAGCAAAAATGTTGTGGTTCAATTGTACAGCTGTTCTTCAATTGAAAACAAAAACAAAACAAACACAAGCTAGAACAAAATAAACCCTGTGCTTTCACAGTGTTTGCGCCTCCGCACATTGATTTCAGCGCACAATGGGAATCCTTGGGTGAGCCTGAACAAAAAGGTTTCTATTGGACGGCCTTCAAAAATAATAATTTTGAAAGCTTATCAACAATATTCATTTGGTTCGGCGCTACACAAGGGTTCCTATTGTATCCCAGGCAATAGGAATCTTTTGTGTGTAAACCCGTACAAAAGGATTCCTATTGAAAGCCATCCAATAGGAGGGCTTTTGGAACCAGCATAAAAGGAATCCTTTTGTAGGGCATTACAAAAAGATTCCTAGTGTATCCCAGGCAATAGGAATCCAAGTATCGGCAAATCTGTCGGAACCGCCGCCGACGGAAAAAAAGACAACACATACAAGAAAACATAAAGACAATCTGGGGGAGCAAACATGCGGCGTTTTGCGTTGTAACGGTTTTTTCGACTGAAAACAAGAAGCACAAGCTAGAACCAAAGAAACCCTGTGTTTTCACAGTGTTTGCGCCTCATCACATTGATTTCTATTGGTCAACGCACAATAGGAATCCTTGGGTGAGCCTGTACAATAGTGTTTCTATTGGACGGCCTTCAAAAATAATCCTTTTGAAAGCTGTTCAAAAGGTTTGTCGCTACAATAGGATTCCTTTTTGTGCAGGCCCACAAAAGGGTTCTTACTGTGCGCCGACCAATACACATCAGTTTGAGGAGGCGCAAACACTGTGAAAGCACGGGGTGTCCTTGGTTCCATCTTGTGTTTTTGTTGTCTGATGTTGGTTTTTAGTTACAAGTAAAAAGCACAACATTGTTGTTCACCGGATTGATTTTTCTGTTTTTCCAAACCCTCCTTGGTTCGGTATTCGTTTTGAATAGAAGGGTGGGGTCGCGTCCCTCCTCCTCCTCCTCCCGCCTCCTGCCTCCTCCTGCCCTCTCTCCGCCGACGATGGGGGCTGCGATCTGCGAAACTGTCGCCGCTTTCGAGGGCTGCTGGCGGGTCCTGCGGAGTGAGGCACGGCTGCGATCTGCGAAACCGCAGCCAGTTTCGCGCAGACCTGAGCGGCATCTCGCCGCCCCTGAGGGGCTGCGATCTGTGAAACTGTCGCCGCTTTCGAGGGCTGCTGGTGGGTCCAGCGGAGTGAGGCACCGCGCAGATCTGAGCGGGACCCTGCCGTCCCCGAGGGGCTGCGATCTGCGAAACGGTCGTCTCTTTCGAGGGCTGCTCGTGGGTCCAGCGGAGTGAGGCACCGCGCAGATCCGAGCTGGACCTCGCCGTCCTTGGGGGGCTGCGATCTGCGAAACCGCAGCCACTTTCGCGCAGACCTGAGTTGCACCTCGCCGCCCCTGAGGGGCTGCGATCTGTGAAACTGTCGCCGCTTTCGAGGGCTGCTGGTGGGTCCAGCGGAGTGGGGCACCGCGCAGATCTGAGCGGGACCCTGCCGCCCCCGAGGGGTTGCGATCTGCGAAACTGTCGTTTTTTTCGAGGGCTGCTGGTGGGCCCCGCGGAGTGAGGCACCGCGCGGATCTGAGCGGGACCTCGCCGTCCGTGGGGGGCTGCTATCTGCAAAACTGCCGCCACTTTCGCGGGCTGCTGGTGGGTCCAGCGGAGTGAGGCACCGCGCAGATCTGAGCGAGGCCTCGCCGTCCGTGGGGGGCTGCGATCAGCGGAACTGCCGCCACTTTCGAGGGCTGTTGGCGGGTCCTGCGGAGCGAGGCACCGAGCGGATCTGAGCGGGACCTCGCCGTCCCTGGGGGCTGCGATCTGCGAGACGGTCGCCGCTTTCGAGGGCTGCTGGTGGGTCCTGCGGAGGGAGGCACCGCGCAGATCTGAGCGGGACCTCGCCGCCCCTGGGGGGCTGCGATCTGCGATACTGTCGCCACTTTCGAGGGCTGCTGGTGGGTCCAGCGGAGCGAGGCACCAGGCATATCTGAACGGGACATCGCAATCCTTGGGGGGGCTGCGAGCCTCGCGAATGCCGCTCGCAGAAGTATATGCGCCCATGCCACGTCATCACCTCCGTATAACGTCTTCCATGGTACTCATGCCCCGCATTGCGCAGGGGTCGGGTACGTCGCCTGGGTAATGTTTGCCATGTTTTTGTTTCCGCCGACAAGTTTGCTGATACTTGGATTCCTATCGCCTGGGATACAATAGGAATCCTTTTGCAATGCCCTACAAAAGGATTCCTTGTATGCTACATTCAAAGAGAATCCTACTGGATGGTTTTCACTAGGGTTCCTGTTGTACCGGTTTACAGAAGGATTCCTAGTGGAATCCTCTTGTAACGCCAAACAAAAGGAATCCTTTTGACAGGCTTTCAAAAGGATTCCAATTGAAGGCCGTCCAATAGAAATCCTTTTGTACGGGCTCACCCAAAGATTCCTATTGTGCGCCGACCAATAGAAATCAATGTAAGGGGGCGCCAACACTGTGAAAACAGGTCCCCTTGGTTCCAGCTTGTGTTTTTTTGTTTTCAAACGAAAACAGCCTCACATTTTAAAACGCAGCATTTTTGTTCCCGCAGATTGTCTTGTTTGTTTTTGTTGGTATTTGTTTATTGCACAGGCTCACATAATGATTACTATTGCATCCAAAAATTACTCCGACGGAAGAACCCCACATAAGAATCCTCTGGGCGAATCTGGAAAAAGCCATCACCGTCGTCCTCGTGGTTGGTGAGGCGTCCTGGCTGTCTCTTCTGCGTATATTTCCTCTCGCCTTGGCGCGGGCCCCCCTTCCACTCCTTACGTTGTCCCCATCCTCGCCCCCCTGTTTGTTCCGCGCCCCGCCACCTCCTCCCCTTCCTGTTGCATGAGCGCGCATGTCGATGTTCCTCGGCGCCGTCGCCGCCACGGCCAGCACAGGCGCGTTCTCTACTGGTCACGTCGCGCAGCCGTTGGGACAACCCCGCGGGCCAGGCTGTCGGGGCAACCCCGCGAGCCGTTGGCGCGCAAGACCAAGCCGTTGGGACAACCCCGCGGGCTTCGAGCGAGGCGCAGCCGCGCTCAGGCGGAAGGCAGCACGAAGCCCAGCTCTGCCGCGAGCTGCTTCGCCTCCGCCCTGGACAAAACCGCTCTCTTGTCGAACTCCAGGAGCGCCTTCCGCAGGGACGCCGGCGGCCCGCGCTCCAGGAACTCTCGCGGCGGCGGCCGCAGGATCAGCATGTTCCGCATGCACGTGGCGCGGGAGAACATGACGTAGAGGTGCAGCCACCACTGCTCGTCCGACATGCCCGTGCGGCCAGCGTCCTCGTCTCTCGCGCAGTCGATGGTGACGCCCTTGCGCAGCGTCTGGCCCTGCGACAGCGTGGAGGTCAGGTAGGACGCGTGCGTCAGGGTGAACCCCGAGCGGCGCACGCTGTGCGCCCCCGAGCTCTGCCATGTGAACTCCCTTTCGCTGGGCCTGAACATCAGCAAGCTCCGCGCCCGCGCCTCGGCCTGGCCGTCGTCGTCGGCGCCTTCGGCGCCCTGTCGCAGCACCTCGGCGACCTCCTGGTAGATCGGAGACTCCTTGAAGCCGTGCACCTGCAGCCAGATTCCCTGCGGTAGGAAGCGGGGGCGAAAGAGCTGGCCTGCCGAGCACTCCTCGTAGCGCTGCTCGTCCTCGTGGTGGAACTCGAAGGACACGATGGTGGCCCGCTGCTCCTGCACGAGCCCCAACTTCTTCTTCAGCTCCTCCTGCGCTGCCGTGAACCGCACCTCCATGCCGACGTGGGCCGGCAAAACGCCGTGGATGTCCCCCGTCTTGTGCATGCTCGGGACGTTCAGGAGGCGCCGACCCGCGTCGGGCTCGCCCTGAATCGCGCCGCACTCGTCAACGGCCTGCAGGAAAACACAGGGCACGCCCAGACGCCGAGCGTCGCGACGAGCGCGCGTGTTGATCCACCTCGCCAGCGTCTCCCTGTATATGCCCATGCCGTAGCCGGGCCGAAAGTTCTCGTGCTGGTGCCGAGGGCCCAGGACGCCCTGGTTGTCCGTGGCCAACGTCTTCTCCCAGGCGGACCAGACCTCAGGTGGGAAGGGCTTGCCCTCGCGCATGCAGCCCAGGAATGTGATCAGAGGGTCCCCGGGCTCGAAGCGCTTCGTGCCCTTCAGCTCGAAGACGCAGGGGATCTGAGAGAAGACCTTGATGGCGTGCTGGATCTCCACCGTCGGCGGGCCCGCGTACCTGTGCGACTCGTCGTCGTCCAGGCGCTCGTTCACGTCCGTCAGGAGGCCAATGCTGCCGGTGGGCTTCAGCTGCAGGAAATCGCCGAGGTGCAACACGATGGGCGCGCGCTCGAAGTGGTGGCGTGGCCGCTGGTAGTTCGACTCCTGCACGTTGTGCGTGTCACTGCGTCCGTGGCAGGCGCGAAGGTCCAGCGCGTTGTACAGCGCGGCTCAGACTTCCTCGCAGTTCACTCACAGACGAAGCTCCCGCCTGAGACTTCCTCCAAATTCAGGCTTGACGAGCCCAAAAGTGACGACAGTTACAGGGTTCCGATGACCCGCTCGGATTACCAACGTGATCTGCGGGCCCCATAGGGAGGGAGCTCCCGCCTGAGACTTCCTCACAATTCACTCAGAGACGAGGCTCCCGCCTGAGACTTCCTCCAAATTCAGGCTTGACGAGCCCAAAAGTGACGACAGTTACAAGGTTCCGATGACCCGCTCGGATTACCAACATGATCTGCGGGCCCCATAGGGAGGGGGCCCCCGCCTGAGCCTTCCTCAGAATTCACTCACAGACGAGGCTCCCGCCTGAGACTTCCTCCAAATTCAGGCTTGAGGAGCCCAAAAGTGACGACAGTTACAGGGTTCCGATGACCCGCTCGGATTACCAACATGATCTGCGGGCCCCATAGGGAGGGAGCTCCCGCCTGAGACTTCCTCCCAATTCACTCACAGACGAGGCTCCCGCCTGAGACTTCCTCCATTTTCAGGCCTGGGGAGCTCAAAAGTGACGACAGTTACAGGATTCCGATGACCCGCTCGGATTACCAACATGATCTGCGGGCCCCATAGGGAGGGGGCTCCCGCCTGAGACTTCCTCACAATTTACTCAACGATGATGAGGATGAGGATGATGAGTGGTGGTGAAGATGAGTGGTGAAGAGGATGATGATTGATTGTGAGTGGTGGTGGCGATGATGATGATGTTTGAATGAGGATGATGCCGATGCCGATGATGATGATGATGATGTTCGTGAGCGTGTGAGAGAGTGCGAGTGATGATGATGATTAGTATGTGAGTGACTAAGCATGTGAGAGGGCATCATCGATGATGCTGATGAGGTTGATGATGAGAGAGTGTGAGTGAGTGTGAGTGGGTGTGTGTGTTCCTGTTCCTGCGCGGGGTGTCCAGAGAAAACAAGAACCCCACTTTGGATGTGGGGAAAAAACATGCAAAGAAAACGTCGATGTGGAAAGATGTACAGCGCTATCGCGCCCGTTTCAGCACGCCTCGCACAAGTTTTACGCTTTGCAAGGAACCCAACCGAAAACCCCAATGGGAAAATCCGCATGGCACCACGGACCCATGTCGGGAAACCCTTTGCGAGCGAGCGCTCTGTCCTTCTTCCCCGTTGCCGAGCAGCGATCGCAGTCGAATAGGCGAATGATGTTTTTCTCCGCCCAGCAATCTGGCCAGCCCTCAGCGGTCAATTGAAATCACTCCACTTGGTTTGACTCGAGAATACCGAACGTTGGCAGCGCGCAAACAGGTGCGTGGTTCCTGCGGACTTCGACCCCGCACTCAAGGATGTTACGTCTGCTTTCAAACTCGTCTGCGGCCTGGCTAGCGAGCGCCAGGCAGCTGTCCGCGAGGCCTCAACAAGCTGTCGCAATGCGAACGCAGAGGCCTCACAGCAATGCCCGGAACATGCCGCCTGTTTCCCCCCAATGGTCAGATCCGACGCGCCAGTGGCGCCACTGCGCAGCGCGAACTCGGGCGCTGTACTTCGGGGCGCCTGCAGCGGAGAAAGAGCGAGCCCCGATGTGTTTCCGCAAACACCTCCAGCAGCGGTCGACGATCTGCGTGCCCCCCTTCGCGCGGACAGCGTTCCCTTCGACGCAGTGAGAGAAGGCTGAACGTGCGCCGCCTCGAATTTGTTGCCAGACCCCTGTTTCTTCAGCCCGTGCACGCCGTAGTCGTGCACCACGCCGTCGAGCTTCTCCTCTCGGTTCATTCCGAGTTCGCAAGCCCTGGCGCCGCCCGTGCGAAGCAGGGTCTTGCGCCCTTGCAAGTGTTTCTTGGCCATCGGCGCCCAATCCTTCCCCGTGATGGGGCCTGGGCCTGCGGCGCGAGGCTTAGTCAGCTTTGGCGGCGTCTTGAATAGGATCAAAGACTGAGGACGGCCGCGTTCAACGATGCCCGCCCATTGATCCCACCTCATTTCGTCGCCGACCTGCTCTTTGCCGAAGTCAACTTCGTCCGCCTCTGCATCCCACCAATGTTGTTGGGAAGGACCACCGAATGTGATCTTTGTCTCCTCGCGCAGGACGAACTTCTGCCTTGCCCTGTCAAGCTTGCTGGACATGTTCGACACGAGATCTCGACTTCCCCCCCGCAGCAAATGGTTTTGGGCTGTCGTAAGCCCCGCGACCAAACAGAAGAGGACCAGCATCTGGTCTTACAAGCTGACGTAGTCCCTACCCCAGGCAGACGACAGCACTGGATTGCAAGCGCGAGGCAGAATGCACTTCTGACGCGACTTCTTGCAGCAGCGGCAGGCCCATGCCCCATTCGTCCTGCGCTGATGCTTCGACACCTTGAGCGGCTTGAAACCTGGCCCTTGCACTTGCCTAAACTGTTTCACGCTGTGCCAAACATACGTAACAAGCCGATATCTGACGCGCGCCAATGGCGCTAGGGGTTGGCTTCAAGCCGCAGACACCTCGCCCGCGCCGCAATGAGGGCGCGCGTGCTGGGGCCAATCTCTCAAGGAGCCAGCGGTCGTCATCTCCGCGATGATCTGCGTTTCAGAGAAGGTCTGATGTCGCTTCGCACTGCGCGACCGCTTCGCTTTAAACATATGGCCGCGGGTCGGTCGGCCGTGCCACGCGGAAGGGTTTTTTTTTCCACAGCGCTCACCACTTCTTCTTGTCTTGTTGTTTAGGCCGCGCAAACATGCGCCGCTCTCTCTCCTGGGGCTCTCTGGCGCCGCCGCCGACGAGGTCGCGCTCGTCGCCCATGACGTGCGCGCCTTCTGCCGATGAAAGCTCCAACGCGAGCGATGCAAGTCGACCGACCCTCGCCCGAGCCATCCGGAACTCATGCAGAGGCGCGTCAATCTGCTGGCCAATGGCGCTGTCCATGACGGAGACCACGCGGTTCTTGAGAACTGCGACAGCGAAGAAGTGGCCGCCGTCTTCTAGGCGAAGCTGCCAGCAAAGAAGCATATTGTCCTCCATCGCCAGCAACGCCTGCATGTCACCAACTTCCACGTGGCGACGGTAACGAACGTGAGCTTGGCACTGGCGGCTGCGAGTCTGCAGCGCGTTGAACTCACGAGCAGCACGCGGGCCCGCTGAAGGGGGCGCAGACGGCGAATCCCAACCAATTTAACTGAACGAGTCATAGAATCATTGTTGCGCTGCCGTTTTGTGCGGTTGTGTTGTTGTTATTGTCGCGTCACCTACATGCGGACATGACGGTTGTGGCGGGGTGGCACCGCCATTGTGTTCAACTCGTCCTTTTGTTGTTTTGTAATGTTATTTTTGCCAGCAACCGTCTGCGCGAACACGTCGTGGCGCAGGTGGAAGGCCTCCTTTCTCTTGGCCCCCAACTCACTGTGAAATTCCGCCTTCGTCTGCTTCAACCACTTCATGGTGCCGTGGATCTTGTTGACCTGTTCCTGCGCTGCTTGCTTGAGGTGCTCCCTGACCCGCGGTTTCTTGAGCCAGTTGCCGATCGACGCCAGTCGTTTGCGGTCTGGGCAATTATCCTTTCTAGTCCTCCGTGCTTTACTCGAAGACGCATGCCCCGTTGCGCTGAGCAGCCAACAAGGCTAACAAAACAAACAACTTTGAAGACAGCACGGCCACGTATGAAAGGCCAGGCAATACTTAGACAATGGATCAACATCGCCAGGAATACATCAAGAGTGCATGAGCCAATCCATCCTCAGTATCATGTCGATCATTGTTCTCCCCGTGACTGTCCCGACCCTCGCCCTCTCCAGACGTTCATTGCTCGCCAGTTCCTCCCCGTCCTCCTCATCATCTCCCTCCTCAAGCCATCCATCTCATCATTCGTGCCCTCCTCATCCTCATATCCTGTTGGTTTGTTCCTCATGCTCCCCATCGTCGCCCTCGTCCTCATCCTCCTCAGCCTCCTCTTCTTTACATCCCCCCCGTCTTTTTCACCCGCGCCCGAATAACCATCATAGTCGTCACAATCATCGCCATCGGTATGCTATACATATTGTTCCTCCTCCTCCTGCTCTTCCTCCTCTTGCTTCTTCTCCGCATCATCATCCACTGGGCAGTCCCAGGGATGAGAACACCGCCAAATGAAAGACACTTACCATTCTCAGGGGGCAACGCTCACATACTACATCACCGACGAAACGGCTGCAGCAGGGGCCCGGCTACAAGAAACGTCGCAAGGAACCAAACCTTGACACCAGGGCCTCGACAAGGTATCAAAACATCGACTGCTACTCCTCTTCTGCGTCTGCCTGTCCTCATCGTCCTTACTTCCCCTATTTCTTATAGTCCTCTTCTTCTCCTCGTCCTTCCAGCTCGTATCTTCTCCTCCTGCATTTCCTCCACGTCCTCCATGTCTTCTGTTCCTACTCCTCGTAGTTCGCATCTCTTTCTCCTTGCTATCCCCCTCTTCCTTCTCGCCCCCCTCCTCGTGCATCTCAGCGGCGCGCGTCGGAAAACAGAAGCGGCCCTTAGCATACATATGTACATATATGTCGGCGGTGCCCGGTGCGGAGCGAACCCCCCCCCCGGTAATCTCTCCTGGGGGATTTCGAGCTGGCGCCATTCCCGGTGCGAGCCTGCACGAACCTCCCCGGTAAACACGACCTCCTCTGGCAGGCTGCACGAACCCCCCCGGCAAGGACGCAGCCCCTCCGTAAGCGGCGCGCCCCCGGCACGCGCGAACCCCAGCCCCGACGCGCGAATCTCACCAGGGCGGGCGGGCCGGAACACGGCGGCGGCGTTGCATCCCAGGGCCGTGCCGGAACACGGCGGCACTGTTCTTCTCTACGCGGCCGCGCCGTCGACCCCCCGCAGCGGCCCTCGGGAGTTGCGCCGCAGCCTCTCATATTGTGGCCACCACCACAAAGCCGTGCATCCGGTAGGGCGCGCGGGCGGAAGAGGGCGCAATTGGCGACTCCTCAGAAGAACTGCAACAGAGAGCGAGAACGCTGAGCGCCCCGCGACTGCGAAGCAGGCAGCGGAGCGCAACGCGACTGCGAAGCAGACAATGGAACACAATACTGCTCCGAGGTACACGTAGAAGGAAAAGGAAAAAAAAAACAAGGCGAGGGGAGGAAGACAAGGACGGGGGAGGTGAGGCCTCAGATGTGCTGCGTCATCTCGCACACTTGGGAAGCCCACTGCTGTCTGGGCCGGCCGCGCCGCCGGTGTTCCACCCAGTTGCGTGGGGCGCCGCCCAGATTACATAAACATTGACGCACCAAGGACGAAGGTGCACTGGAAGCGACACGGATGTATAATTTGCGTTGCTTGCCAAGTAGAAGCTGAGATAGCGGTTTGGCGCCCGCTTTTTCCACTGCGCTCGAATTACTTATTCGCGAGAAGAAAGAATGCGGAATGCCCAGGATTCGGCGGAGGCCGCGGCAGTGGAACGCGTCGAGCCTCGACTTGTCGGCCTTCAATAACCACAGGGAGTCGAGCGAGTACAATAGCTTACTTACCACCACACTGCACTTTGAACTTTTGTTTCCATCCAACAGCGGTATGCGACCAAATCTTAGCAAGCTTGTTGAATATGCCATATGCTTCCCTCAATCGGCGGTTGAGTTCGGTGGTGGCCTTACCGTCACAAGAAAGCATCCCGCCCAAGTAAACGGCTTCCCGGACAGCTTTGATATGACCACCATCAGGCCGAACAACGACGACGTTGGTTGAGATCTGCATTTGTAATGTCTTGTCCCAGTTAAACTCGAGTCCGTATTTACAGCCTTCCCCAACAATAGCGTTCAGCATGCTCTGGACGTTTGTCTTGCTCTGCGACAACAGTAGTGTGTCATCTGCATATAGAATGTCACGCGTCACCGCATAGGCGGGTTCGGCTTCGAAGTTGATGGGCCCAGAAGCATCGTGCAACATAACGGTCTGTACTGCAATGAATAATTATGGGGAAAGTGGGCATCCTTGCGCAATTCCTGCCATGTGCCGTCTTTCTTTGGATTTCCCCGTGCTGTCCACAATCGTGAAGTAGCGCTCAGCGTAGATAGCTTCGACCATGGCCACGATGTCCGAGGGAAGCCCAAATCGTCGTAAAGCGTCGCACATGCGTGTAGGTTTGAGTCTGTCGAACGCTTCAGCCCAATCCAACATTAACAAAATGAGGCCGCCGTGCTTATTGCTGTGAGCCGCGTCAATCATGCGCCGGACGAGCATGAGCGCGTCTGCCGTCCCGCGCCCAGGGCGGAACCCTAATTGTGATCCGCGCATTCGGGGCTCAGCGCCACCTTGAATTAGACGTTGATGGATCATGGAGGCTAGGAGCTTATACCCAATTTGGAGTAAAGATATGGGTCTGTAGTTCTCTGGCAATCTGATATTTCCTTTCTTGGACAAAAGAACCACGTTCGCGCGCCTCCAAGACTCGGGGATTGCTTTTGTGTTCCCAGCATGTCTGGCACAGGCGAAGCATTATAGCAGAGGCATCTGGATCTGATCCCAAAGTTTTCCAAAAGTCCGGCTGAATACCATCGGGCCCCGGAGCCTTGCCACGACGTAGCCGGCGCAGCGCTCCAACCAGTTCATCCGGGACGAAAGGGCCCGTGTTGATAGGTAGCAAATCACCTATGGGAGCTCGCGGCTCCGAGACATTCTCTGGGAAGCGTATTTGCCATTGGATGTCTTCGAAGTAGTCGGCCAAAACGTCTGCTCGATCAGCTGCGTCTGCCAGGGTCCCGTCCGGGCGCAGTATTGTCGCGCGCTTGATGCTTGGAGGTTTTCTGAGATGTCGCACTGCTTCCCAACCTCCCCTTTGGATTGGTAGCCCCAGCCATTCTTTGCGATCTTGAGCTCCAGACTTCCGAATCTCCTTATGTAAACGCTTTTCGGTTTTATGGTCCCCAGCTGAACGTGCATCTCTTCTCTGCTCGATTAAATCAAGAGTGCGCTGGCTTGTCCACGCTTGCTTCGGCACCGTCTCCCGCATAGGCAATGTTTCAGAGGCTTTTTCGAAACCGTATCGTACCCTGCTGTTCACAGCTTCAACAGACTCAGTGCCATTGCCAATTGAAACGCCCACGGCCCCAACAAATGCTAATGTAAAACGCTCTCTGGTGTGGGGGTCTTTGAGGCTTGCCTTGTCCGCGCGTTTCTT